TTAGGATTGTCTCAGAAAGCATATATTGAAAGAGTTCTAGAAAGATTTGGTATGGAACATTGTTCAACCAATATTGTTTCATATATAAAAGGGGATAAATTCAGCCTAATGCAATCCCAAAGAATGAGTTAGCTAGAATGTAAAGAAATGAAAAATATTTCGTATGCATATATTGTGGAATTTGATGTATATACAAGTTAGTATGGGATAAAAGATTATATGCTCACACTCAGGAAGACATTTTTTAATTAGTTATTTGTTTCATTTGGCTGGAGGAACAATATTATGAAAAGTGTAAAGTAATTTATTATTTCTTTGCCTATTATGAATTTTTTTAATTTGTAGCATGCTTTGGGGTTACAATTTATTGTTGCATAATTTATTTCAGGATATGAAGTCATGGGTACCATTTTCAGATTGCTAAAAATTTGTCCTACAATTATTGATCTTCTTGTATGAAAAATAATAGATATTCTAAAGTTGAAATATTTTATCATTAAAGAAGATATTTAGAAATAATGAATGTCTATTGAACATATAAGTACACAACTTATGAGTACAATTCATTAACGAATGAACTACCACTCAAGACATTTATGGAACATGTTGAAAGAATGGGCCTTAAATATAGTCAGCAATGATTATTTTTAATTGTGGATTGCTTAACAGTGCTTATATATATTTGACATTTTGCGCTGATTAAATGTGTTTCTAATATTTCCTATTAATTAATATACATGTACGTATTGTTTTAATAAATGTTAATAGGAATAGTCTTGGAAAAGATATTATTGTTAGATCATTATTGATACTTCTCATTTATAGACTATGTTGAATAGGTTACTAGTGTTGTGGTACATGGAAGGGACTGTGTCATTTAGGGATATATAACCACCATGACTCTCATTGGTAGTTTATTGTGATACCCCTTAATTTCGGAACACGGGTTGATCAAATCCGCGCACAAAATTAGGGAATGTCAAACCAATTATAATATTTAAACAAGCACGGATTACAAAATGAAATAAAGAATAAAATAAAACGCTGAAGAAATCCAATTAATAGTAAATCCATTAATAACTTCCAAATGGTTACAACTCGGGAATCCCGTAACTCAAGGACTCCTTAACCAAAGTTACTATTTAGAATTTCAACCAAATAAATACTAATATCAACTGAAACAAAACTAATAGCCTACTTTTAAGCAAATAGAAGGAATGGATAAGTCCTCCAGCTGCGGATCCTCAACCTTGAGACTTGACCTTCTAACAACCTGAAAAATAAATCGCGGGTTAAACCCTACGAGCAAGTTCTCTCTACCAAGCCTCTGAAAACCAATAAACAGATCATCTTTACCAAAACCATCCCTAATTAAGCTTTAACTTTAATATACGATGCTACAAATATATATAAATACTTATATATATAGTACAAGAATCCTATCTGTTAATAGGGCATTAAATTGTCAAAACCACTCACCAATAATTGATTATTAGTCATACCTAGACCAAGCCCCCCCTTTTATAATTTTCTCATAAAGTAAACCCCACTCACCTTAACTCCATCCTAAACAGTAATCTAGCCATCTAAACATATAGCAATTTAAATATGCACCTGCAAATCAACCATGCCATTTATAAATATATTTATTTATATACTAGCAATTCAACCATGCTTCCTTCAATATATTTACTTTTACAATTAATTAGCAATTCAACCATGCTTCCCATATATGAAATTTATTCATAACCAATAAGGCAATATATCAAAGCCTTTGGCAACTCATCCATGCCTACAATTCAACCATGTACTAACTTTAAACTTAACTCTAGGTATAATTATACATAGACTTCACATGCATATAACAAGCATGTCCTTAATTTAATAACCGTGTATCTATTACGATTTTAAATCAACCATACCATACACGAATCAAGTCATACCAAACAAGATTTATAATATTTAATAATCTTAAATAATATATATATACACATATATTTTATAATATATATATATGTGTGTAACATACATTCCATACCAATCGTTGACTATTTAAAATCATATCTACATATATATATACATATATACACCTCCTTTCATTGCAAAAATATTTAATTAATTGTATTTATACCACTAAATGCTACTAGGTATCTTAGTAACACTCTGAGGCTCTCAGAACATCAAGAACACACCCTCTAATGATTAATTTTAACCCTAACAAGCTTAAGATAAATACTGGAACTTCACCGGAGTCTCAAGCAACTTTCCAGGACCTCACACGCATCCCCACGCGCCTTCACGCGCCGCCACATACCCCTAGACTACTCCCATGCGTCTCCACGCGCTTCCCCTTACCGGCAGGCGCGTCCACGCGCCTGCACGCGCCCTCACTCGCCTGAGCCACTCTCGGCGCGTGTTGGCAGCTCCTAATTGGTTGCTGTTGGTTGTTTTGGTACGCCGCGCTACACTGGATAATCCCTCCTTTGACCAGACCTAAGGAATGGTCTAGATGCTCAAGTGCACCATCCCTCTATGCACCGCAAAGCATAGGATTATTCTAGTCACTCATCAACTTAACCCATGGCCCAGATCAATGCTACACCAACTTACTCTAAGCCGCACCACACTGGATTGCACACCCTATTTGCTGCGCAAGTTACAGCCACCTCCAGTAATGTCATATGTTAAACAATTTAACATATTTCTATATATAACAGTATATATAAATAATTTCTATAATAACATTAAAAATATAAATTAATTCCAGAAAATTTAAAAAAAAACTTAGAAAATTCCAAAAGCTTTATTTATTATTTTGGGCATAAATGAACATATACAATTAAATTAAAATCCATTTAATTTAATTAATCGTGCTACACAAGGTTAACGCAAAATATAAAAATTTTAGAAAAAATAAAATTTAATTAACCTAACCTCACATACAAGATCTAAATTATCAGAACAATGCATACATATATTCACATGTTTAATTCTATAATTTTGTAAAGAATAAATATGCTCCTCCAATCTGAATAATAATTTAATTTAATAAAATAAAATTATAATTTCGATAATCAAGGTGATAAGTTTATAAGTTCTAAGAGGAGAAGTAGAGAAGAACTCGCCTTTTCTTTTCCAAATCCGGTCTCCTCTTACGTTCTTTGATCCGGCCTCCTCTTCGTTAGCCCTTCTTCTTCTCTCTCTAATTCTCTTATTTCTCTAACGTGGAAAAACTCCTAACCCTAAAGTCTTATGTGTCTATTTATACACATCCAAAAACCTAAATCATTTTCCCATTAGGATTATTATCATATAAAATAAATAATATTTATCTTTTAAATAATATATATACATACATATATTTTAATGTAAATATATATATATATATTACCTTCCATATATAACCATTAGTTAAATAAATTATATATACCTATATATATCAATATATAATTATATTGACATATATATCCCTCCACATGATTTAATAATGAATTAATATACACATGTAATTATATAGGTATAATTATGCAAAGATAATTATTAAATATCCTCACAACCACGGGCCTTTACCAATTAACACAACAAGGCTTCCTTCAAGCCCAATACCACATCCGTTGGTCCAACTTCCTTTAATCCCAATCCAAATAACTTAAATACCTAAAATAATGAAATTAAATCTAATAGCTACCAATAATTAACAATAAAGTTACACCAACATAAAATCACGCAAATCAAATAAACAATTTACTAACTAGCATTCCACAAATCAAACACCATATAAATTTAACAAATAAAAGTAAAAAATATAATTTAATTAAAACAATACAATTTACCTATGCACTTAATTAAATAAAACAAATCACAACTATCAAGCACCTAATTAACTAAAACAAATCATTTAAAAATAATAATAATAATAATAATAATATAATATAAATTAATTTAATTAATAAATCCTTTTTAAAATATCGAGGTATTACATTTATTTACCATGGTATTTATGATAACTAACTTAATGAGTCAATCTGATTTATGGTGCACACTAATGACTATTTTACTAAACCACTACAAAAGTTATCATATGGGCCAAGTGAGAGACTGTAAAAAAAATTCTTATATTTATGGCCCACATGATTTGGACACGTGATTTACTTCTATTATTTGGTGGTTAAATAAAATAGATGTCAGATTAATATTATATTATTTGGTCAATTTATAAATTACCTTTTTGGTAATTAATGATTAGAGAAGTGTTTTTCTATTTATTCCTTACTTTGATGGAAAGTGAATTAAGGTTACTAAAAAGGAAAATTAGTCCTCTCTCTGCCTTTATAAAGTGCATATTCCCCATCAATTATGTATGCTAATGAAAACAACACATATAATATTTATATGTTCAAAAGGTCAAGAGAGAGAAACCGGTTTCTACGCTTTGACTATTACAGTTTAGCATGTTGTTTGTTCCACAAAAAGGATCTCGATGTTCGCCTTGATCTCTTCGAGTTTTACAATTACAGATCGAGGTATTTTTATCTAACTATTTATTTATGCACTATAGGTATGTGAGAATAATAAAGTTCTAAGATTTGGGATTCATGTTTATTTGTGATTAATGATTTACATGAATAATTATAGTTTACACGGTGAGCCCACCATCATCCTCTGTGGCGTTGCGGGCCACAAATTCATCACCACCAACGAGGAAAAGCTTTTCCAGGTGTGGCGCCTACATTCCCTCCAAAAGCTCTTCCACCTCTTATTCCTCACCAATGCATCGGCCTCCATCCTACGGGAAACCTTGGTCAATGTCACCCGTGCCCCTGGTTTGATCAAGACCGAGGCACTTATCGGGTACTTGGGGAAAATGGACACCATGATTCAACAATAATTCAACTTGCATTGGGAGGGAAAACAAAAAGTGCAAGCCTAGCCGGTTCTTCTTAGGGCTCGAAGAGAATGATCCTCGTATCGAAAAGTTTGCTAGGCTATCAAATGGAATGATGGTCGGGCTCCATTCTTTCCCCATAAATAGTCCTGGAACTGTGTTTTACGGCTCCAAGAAAGCCACGGACACGATGAGGAAGGAGGTTCAGCAACTGATTAAGGAGAAGAAAGATGCCATGTCCATTGGAATACAATCTTACGACATTATGTCACATATGATCCTCAGCAGCAACCCTGTTGCCGGCCGGTTCAAGTTGGAGAAAGAAATCGCAAGCTTTTTATCCGCTTTAGTCGTGTCCGGATTCACCACACCCGCCACTACTCTAGCCATTATCATGAAATACCTTGCAGAAAGACCCGACATATATGATAAAATTCATGCAGGTATGTCATTGACAAAAATTTTAAGTTTTTAAAGTAGGGATTATTATTACAAATAGATGGACTTATGGATCTATATTTATTATTTGGTGGAGTGAAAAGTTATGCTCTTTTGAAAAAAATAAAGTTGACTAAAATGCTAATATGTGGAGATTGAAAAATATTATTCATTGTCCAAACTACCCTTACTACTTTCAATACCACTTTTTGTGCATGAAAGTACCATTTTTTGTGTAGACCATGTCTGTGTATACAGAAAGAGGTATATACAAAAAAAAAAAAAAAAAAAAAAAAAAACAAAAATAGTATTTATATGCATAAAAGTAGTACCTTAACTTGTGAGCAAAAGTAGTACTTGCATGCACAAGAGTGGTACGTACATGAAATTAATAGTAAGGGTAGTTTGGGCAACTGAACTATGTTTTTCTATGTCCACGTCAGCATTTTGGTTAACTTGATTTTTCTGAAACATCATGACTTTGACTCCATTAAAGAGTAAATATGAGTCTATAATATCATGTATTCGTAATAATCCCTTTAAGCAACCCATAATATATAAATGAAATGATCTTGATTTCAAACCCGAACGATGCAACAAATCACATTTTGTTGCATTGTTATATTACTATTAAATTAAAATTTTAACATATTTACATATTTCTTGTATTAGGCACATAATAGACATATGACAAAAATAACAGCAGAGAATCTTGGTTCTTTTCTTTATCCTTTACAAATTGACATTGACATTGATATTGATATTGATATTGATATTCAATATCAGAACAAATGGAGATTAGCAGCTCCAAGAAATTAGGAGAGTTGCTTAATTGGGAGGACATACAGAAGATGAAGTACACGTGGCACGCAGCACTGAAAGTGATGAGAACCAGACCAACTTTTCAAGGAGGATTCAGGGAGGCCTTATGAAGGTTACACCATTCCAAAGGGTTGGAAAGCAAAGTAAAACTAAACTTCCGTTATTAAAATTCTTCATGTGATTTATTATTTACCCCATCTGGACTCTTGATCAGTTCATGTCTCTTTCGGTAACAATCATCTTAAGAATTTTTTATTTATTTTTCAACATAAACCTAATCTCGTATATAGTAATGGCTATTCCTGTTGGGATTTATATGCCCTGGCATAACAAATTCCTATCTGGATTATAGTGACATATGTTCCTGACATATCTGAAATATTTATGATTTATATAATTGGTGAATTCAATGTATTATGTTTCGATTCACTATGAAATTGATAGTGTCCATGTAATTACAAGAAATATTTATATATATGTATGTGATGGCAATCAATGCATGATATATAAATAGTAATTATAAATTGTTCATAGTCGGTAATTATGGATGGACTCATAATTAATTAAGACTTGAACTGGATCCGCGTTAGGTTGAGATATATTGCGAGAGCCGTCGTATGCAATTGCTCCCTATCACCGTCATGGCATTTGACTCTTAAGCATGAGAAAAGTATAGACTCTTTTATTAATTAATAATTACTTTGATTTGTTCGGCGGATTCTTCGGGATCCTTAGACCGACACTTTGGGTAGTTATGTAATTAATAGTTAGAGGGTTATATTTTCAATATTTGCATCATTGCTACTTGTATTTATTTTGTATTGATTATGGTTGATCACAAAGTAAATTCGAAGGCCTTCGTGTGTTTTTAGACAAAATGATTTATTATATATTTATTTATTTAAATTATTATTTTTTGTCAAACAAATGTTTTTTTGTGATCGAGCCAGAAATAATCAAAGGTACCAAAATAAATATATTAATTAAGTAGTCGGATTGATGGCTATATTTATCCGATAACTAATTATGCATAGAGGGGTCAAAGTGCAATATTGACTTAGAGGTTATTTATTATTTAATTGGAGTTCAATTAATTTCTTTTAGTGGAGTAGAAATTAATTTATGAATTAATTGAATTGGGTCCATGGACCGGGCCAATTATTAATTCATTGTAGCCAATAAAATAATAGGCCCAATGGATTCTCACTCATAGCCCAACTTGATATTGGAATCATATTAGATTTGAGACATATGAATTAGAGATGGAGAAGGATTTGTTGTTTCCTTTTCTTTATTTTTATGTTGCCTATAAATATACATGGTCTATGTATATTTTGGGGGGTGATTTTTATGAGAAGGAAAAAGGAATAAATTTTCTCTCTCTAGAAAATTAGGGTTTATGTTCTCATCTAATGGAGGCTCCCACAAGCCTAGTTTTCCAAGGTCATTCATGGAGGCTTATGAGTGATTCCTAAAGGCAAAACAATTACCAAGAAGATGGAGATCCAAGAAGAAGGCATCTTGCTAAGGGATCTACAATAAGTGAGAACATTCACTTTAGAGGAAAATTTTAAAGGTTTACTCAGACCTTTGATGTAAGTATTCAATCTGTTAATTGAATGATACATCATATTTTTATTTTTGCATAAAACTTGTCTCTATGTGATGAATCAAGATCTATGAATCAAAATCCCTCGAAAAGTTTTTAAAACTTGCACGTTTCCCAACAGTGGTATCAGAGCATGGTTTGATTCATTATTAGAGATCATGATTTTATGAAAATCATCATTCATGGATCCAAAATTATATTCATATATATTTTTATTGATGTATGTTGATGTATGATTTAATATGTTGATATATATTGATACATAATGATGTATGAATGATTGTGAATGAATGATGATGTATGGTTGGGCCATGGATGAAGCTTATAGGTTAAATTAATGTAATTTTATCTTTGGATGAATGTAATTAAGGCTTTGATTTAGCCGTTTGAAAGTTCAATGATGTAATTTAATTTTTTCTATTGTATTTCAAATTGTAAATATTTTTAAAGCCATGTAATCTTCGTCAAAGGATGCTATGAAGCTTCAAGAAGGTCCAAGAGGGTTAAATTAGGCTTCAGAAATTTTCTGGGAGTTTTTAGCAATTTTCCGGAATTTTTTTGGAATTTTTTAAGGCCTAATTTAATTTCTGGAAATTTTTATTAATTTTTCTGGATTTTTCGGCGTTTTTCCGGTGGCCGGAGCATCACCGGCGGCGAGAAGAGACGTCGGAGGAGGCTAGAATCAAGTGTAGTGCATCTGGGGTGAGCCTGGCGCGTGAGGAACACGCGCCAGGAGGTGACATCTGCTGGCGCGTGCATTGCACGCGCCAGCCAAATGTGTATGGCCTCCACGCGCGTGCAGGCGCGTGGAGGCGCGTCCCACGCGCCCCATGCGCGTGCCAGCGCGTGGGGGCGCGTCCCACGCGCCCCAGGCGCGTGCCAGCGCGTGGGGGCACGTGGCTTCACCTGCAGCATGCCCCAGGCGCGTGTGAGCGCGTGTGGGGCCCTCCAGTCGCGTTCCAAGCCGTGTTTTGCTTCTCCTGGTGCGTACCAACCTTATGTGGGTGTTTGCAAGCTGATGGAAGATCTTCGCGCAGTGATTAGAGCAATTAAATGTTAAAAGCTGATTCCATTGGCCATTTTATTTGCTTTATCTGTCATTTATTGTTGTATGAGATGCATGAAATAATTAATTGCTAATTATTATTGTTCATGCATTGGATCCATGATATTTATTTAAATGGCTTGATTTATATTAGTTAAATTATGAAAATTAATTGGATTTGATTACTAATTAATTAGAGGGCACTTATTGGGAAACGAAAAATTATTTTTATAAATTATTTTTGAAGTGTGCCTCAAGTTAAATATTAGTGAGTCGTTTAAAGTCCAAATATTTTCTAAATTTAATTGGATTAAAATCAAGACGTTTTGCATGCATTATATCATGTAAATGAATAAAATGAAAACCCTGATTATGAATGATTAAAAATTGAGTGGGAGCGGGGATTTTTATACATTGCCCCATGGCCTTCGTTATTAAAACCATTGTAATTAGATCTTCAAAAATAAGGCCCCACGCATGATTTGAAGAGTCTTAATATTACAAGAATGGTTGTCTCATGAAAATAAAAATATTAAATGTTCATTGTAATTAGATCTTTAAAAATAAGGCCCTACGCATGATTTAAAGAGTCTAGATTATAATGACAACATATTTAATGTTTTATTTTTCATTAGAGCATTAATAATGTTATACACTCAATCTAAAATCAATCGTGTTAGCTCCCCAACGGAGTGGTCTACACTAGGTGATTTTAGAAAGGCTAAACATAATCGGGAGTCATTTCATATAGATAGACAAGGCATTGTCTTAAGAGATATGGAGATGATGGGATTTGCCCGCCAATAGCAATAATGAACTTCGCCAACCGAATAAGTTATTGGTGTATTGGTTATCCGATTTTTCATGCTGTGGTTAAGGGACCCACATACTATTTTAATGGAAGTGCTCACCTTATAGTAAATGAATCTCAACAATAGTAATAATGAACTCCTCCAACAGGATAAGTTGTTGACATATTGATTGGTTGATTTATTATGCTACAGAGTTGAGGGACCCGCATTAATTAAAAGGGATTGTTCACCAATAATGATAATGATCTCTTGTTCGATTGAGATTTATTATATTATGTGGTTAACAAACTCATTTTAATTTTAAATATGCATGACAGAATTAATAATTCACCTTGCATATTGTATGAATGCATTTATATTCAGATTAATTATGTCTAATCCAGTTTATCTACTTGCTTACATATTCTATGATATTGGACCTTATTTATAATGACTGGAAAATGAACTTAGATATTTTATTCACAACGTAAGGGTACAAAATGTGTTTATTACTCCTATACCTATCTCTTTTACTTTGAGATACCAAATTTGACATTAATGCTTTTAATAAATTAGATAAGGCAAATGATATGACTTGGTGCAATATTCTAGAGTTTAGCTCGAATATACTCCAAAGCTAACATTTGTATTATTTTATTTTCTTCAAGCATCATATTAAATGTCAATGAGATATTTTGGTGAGATTAGATAGAGCATATGCCTAAGTACTGTGTCAAATTTAAATACCATCAAGATAGCCTCATGAACTCCAGTTTGAAATCAAATTTTGGAAAATGATTGTTTGTTATTTAAAAATTAGCTGGAGATCAATAAGGCTGACTTGGGTGGTAAGTTTCAAGTTGACATGATTATTGCCTTGTTACCAAACTCATTCGACTCTGTTAGAGTGAACTAAATAAGGAATCAGTTTGAGTTCACACTCGCTGATATTCTTATAGAATTGGTAACAGATGAAGGGATAATCAAGAGTATGGGCGTTCCTATCAATCTAACCTAGTCTATACCATCTTCTTCTAGGCCCAAGTGGACGGGCAAAGCAAAGAAGAAGGATGATAATAGGACTAGACTAGCACAAAACATGGGTATTCAAAAAGGTTAAAGGGAATAAGGCAGTGTATGTTGAGGGCGAAGAAAACTGTTTCTTTTGTCGCTAACTAAAACACTAAAGGACGAACGGTTTAAGCAATGACGTGGCATAGGAAAATATATATTTAATCATTGAGCCATGTTATGTGGTTGTATCTATTGATTCCTGATGGATAGATTCTGGAGTCACTAAACATGTTTGCAATTTATTGTAAGGATTTCAGGATTCCAGAAGCCTCGATGATATGGAATATATTTGTACTTAACCTGATGTCAAGGTTGTAGCTAAGTCAGTCGGAGTATTACATCTGAAAATAGAGAGTATGAGGATATTAGTATTAGAGAACTATTTTTATGCACAGAAGTTAGACGCTATCTTATTCTTGTTTCACTTGTGGTTTATAAAAACTGTGTTGTTATTTTGTAAAACTGGTTTTATAAAATTGAATAGATATGCGATTACTTCTGGTGTATTGAAAGATGGTTAATATACTATAATCACAAACTCTTAAGATTTGCAGGATGTAGAAACTAATGTTGCATCTTCTAGATTGAATGTTAAGAGAAAATTTGTTATTCCTGACTCATTGTATTTTTAATGTCTATTTTTGGGTTGTTATCAATCAAAATAAGATTCAAAGATTGGTCAAAGAAGGTTTATTACCTAGTAAGGCAGGGGAGCCTAAACCAAACTTGTGAACCCTGTTTTGAAGGATAGATAACTCTTAGGGCTTAATCAGCCAGATGAAATAGACATAAAGGACAATTGGAGTCGGTACACACTGACACGTGTGCTCTTATGAACATCCAAGCAAGATTACTCACGTTTTGGATAAGTTTATCTGATGCAACACAAGTCTTAAACTCTTGGTATTTTCTGAGAAGGTTAAGACTGATGTGGAACACAAATTAGGTAAACTTGTCAAGACACTTCGATCTGATCGAGGATATGAGTATTTCTTGGGATAGTGCAAAGACTATATGGTCAATGAGGGTATTATGTACCAGTTTTTCGCAATTGACGCTAAATGTATTTAGGTGTCAAATAGGAATAACAGAATTTCACTTAACATGGGTAGATCTATGATCAGCTATGCTACATTATCTCTTTCATTTAAGAGTTTAGCGTTAATGACATCGATGCACATTATGAACTGCATTCCATCTTAGTCTGTCTCAAGGGTACCGTTGAGCTATGTTTTTTTTACTAAATATTAGTTTGAATCATATGCACATATGGGGTAGTCTTGCACATGTGCGCTTGATATGAACAAGTAAGTTGGAAGCAGATCATAGGCATGCTAGATTTGATAGCTACTCTAAATGTCACTAGGATAGATTATTTTATGATCTCAAAGATAAAAGTTAATTGTTTTCACTCACTGTTTATCTATAGGAGAATCATATTATGAATCACATACCTAGTAGCATACTGTTAGAGAATTTGGTATGAGTACCAGATGTACCACATGTGAACACACTTATTATAGAGATTGAGAATAATATATGAATTCCCTATTGATGCGTTAGCATCATCTACTACACGGATTCTTGCATCGGTACATTGATGTAGTGGGAGGATTATCATCCAATTCGACAGAATCATGTTTTTAGGTGAGACCATTATGGACATCCCTGTTAAACATGAGTTGGACCCAGTAAGCTACACGGAAGCGTGAACCGATGTGGATACAGATCGTTTTGGTGAGTTACTATGAAATCAGAGTTGGAATCTATGTATTCTAATAAATTCTGGGATCTTGTAGAACTTTCTAGTAGGGTGATTCCTATGGAAGGCAAGTTAATCTACAAAAAGATACCAGAAGATTTCTTAGTGAATAAATCATGAGTGTACAAGGGAATGTCATTATTTTTCTTAATTCTATATATTGATGACATCCTACTCATTTATAATGACGTGGAAGTTTTGTCATCAATTAAAAGGTAGTTGTTCAATTACTTTTAAATGAAGGAATTTCAAGATGTAAGCTATATTCCTAGGATCAAGCTTTTGCAAGATCAGGTTAAAAGGAAAATAGGCTTATCTTAATAATCCTACATTGATAAAGTTTTGACCAGGTTTGGTATGCATAACTCAAAGAATGAGTTCTTGCTTTATTGATATGGATCGCTCTCTCTAGTAACTAGTTTTTCAAGACTAGCAGAGGAGATTGAGCAAATGAGACTGGAACAATATGATTCGGCATATGAGAGTCTCATATATGCCATGGTCTATACCAAACAGGACATCCGCTACATAGTAGGGATAGTCAGTAGAGATCAGTCCAATACTGGACTTGACAACTGGTCTATTGTGAAAAATATCATTAAGTACCTAAGGAGAACCAATGATATCATATTCATTTATGGATGTGATGATATGGTCCTAGTCAGGTATGCTAGTTCTGATTTTCAATCAGAAGTAGATACTATGAGGTTCATGACTCAGTGTAAGTTCACTTAATGGAAGGGAAATCAGTTGGTAGATTGTCAAGCAGATTTCAACTGTTGACTCAAACCTGCAGGTGGTGTATATTGCAGCCTTAAAAGTGGCAATATAAGCCTATTGGTTTGATCTCACTGATTTAGAGGTTGTGGAGCATACTAGCTTGCCTATCGAGCTATATTGCGACAATAGTGCAGAAGTAGTCCAAACCAATTACCCAAGGTTCCATAGATGAACAAAATACACTGATAGGAAGTATCATGTTCTACATGATATTGTCCGGCAAGAAAATGTACTTGTAGTTAGAACATTGCATTGGAACACAACTTTGTTGATCCATTATCAAAGGTGTCATTGATCAATAATTTTGATCATCATCTGGATAACATTGGAGTTAGGTGCAATTTGAATTGGCTATGAGGGCAAGTGGGAACTGTTGGGATTTATATGCCCTGGCATAACAAATTCCTATCTGGATTATAGTGACATATGTTCCTGACATATCTGAAATATTTATGATTTATATAATTGGTGAATTCAATGTATTATGTTTCGATTCACTATGAAATTGATAGTGTCCATGTAATTACAAGAAATATTTATATATATGTATGTGATGGCAATCAATGCATGATATATAAATAGTAATTATAAATTGTTCATAGTCGGTAATTATGGATGGACTCATAATTAATTAAGACTTGAACTGGATCCGCGTTAGGTTGAGATATATTGCGAGAGCCGTCGTATGCAATTGCTCCCTATCACCGTCATGGCATTTGACTCTTAAGCATGAGAAAAGTATAGACTCTTTTATTAATTAATAATTACTTTGATTTGTTCGGCGGATTCTTCGGGATCCTTAGACCGACACTTTGGGTAGTTATGTAATTAATAGTTAGAGGGTTATATTTTCAATATTTGCATCATTGCTACTTGTATTTATTTTGTATTGATTATGGTTGATCACAAAGTAAATTCGAAGGCCTTCGTGTGTTTTTAGACAAAATGATTTATTATATATTTATTTATTTAAATTATTATTTTTTGTCAAACAAATGTTTTTTTGTGATCGAGCCAGAAATAATCAAAGGTACCAAAATAAATATATTAATTAAGTAGTCGGATTGATGGCTATATTTATCCGATAACTAATTATGCATAGAGGGGTCAAAGTGCAATATTGACTTAGAGGTTATTTATTATTTAATTGGAGTTCAATTAATTTCTTTTAGTGGAGTAGAAATTAATTTATGAATTAATTGAATTGGGTCCATGGACCGGGCCAATTATTAATTCATTGTAGCCAATAAAATAATAGGCCCAATGGATTCTCACTCATAGCCCAACTTGATATTGGAATCATATTAGATTTGAGACATATGAATTAGAGATGGAGAAGGATTTGTTGTTTCCTTTTCTTTATTTTTATGTTGCCTATAAATATACATGGTCTATGTATATTTTGGGGGGTGATTTTTATGAGAAGGAAAAAGGAATAAATTTTCTCTCTCTAGAAAATTAGGGTTTATGTTCTCATCTAATGGAGGCTCCCACAAGCCTAGTTTTCCAAGGTCATTCATGGAGGCTTATGAGTGATTCCTAAAGGCAAAACAATTACCAAGAAGATGGAGATCCAAGAAGAAGGCATCTTGCTAAGGGATCTACAATAAGTGAGAACATTCACTTTAGAGGAAAGTTTTAAAGGTTTACTCAGACCTTTGATGTAAGTATTCAATCTGTTAATTGAATGATACATCATATTTTTATTTTTGCATAAAACTTGTCTCTATGTGATGAATCAAGATCTATGAATCAAAATCTCTCGAAAAGTTTTTAAAACTTGCACGTTTCCCAACAATTCCATGTTACCGTCGAATCATAATCACCATCAGTTCGTCACATCATGTGATTGAAATTACCTGCCCAGGAAAATCTCTTTGGTTCTTTAACATATATAAATTATGAACAGTTGGGGCGTGTTTGCGGTAATAAATTAATCTGTCTCTCTTTAACATGAAGGTGTATTGGACCATGACTACCACAAACAAGAACCCGGAATGCTTTCCAGAACCAGAAAAGTTTTCTCCGACGAGGTTTGAGACTCCTCCACCTTACACCTTCGTCCCGGAAAAGAGTACAGTCGACTAGTGATGCTCATTTTTCTCCACAATCTTGTCAAAAATTTCAAATGGGAGGTGTTGGCTCCTAACGAGAACATTACTGGCACCGTCATCCCTATTCCGGGAAAAGGGTTCCCCATCCTTCTCCAACCTCTCTCAACATAAGCAATGGTGTTTATGCTAGCTAGTACTGTTCGTGAACGCATTATAATATATATGTATCTAGATCAACAATGGTATACATGCAGATTTAATATTGTAACTATTGTTGTTATTATCCAGTACTCATATATAGGTAAGCCTCCGACTAAAAATAATGTGAAAGCTAAGTCTTTGTTTGTTTGAAGTATTTTATGATGACCAACATGCTGAGTGGTCTAGTGGTACCCTATCTTATTTTTTTTTAAAGATGTTAAGGTATTGAACCTTGGTGAAAAATAATAATAATACTAATAATAATAATAATAAGGTCGCTGTTAGAACCGTAATATCCGTGCCTATCTAATTTTAACTATTTTTAAAATAGATTATTCTGATATAAATTATCAATCTAAATGATATAGATTCGTCAAATAATAAAATGACATAATAATAACGGAAGCAAGTAATTTTTTTTTTTTTTCTAGTCCACAAATTAGGAGAATCAATATATAAGTGGTGTAAAGAATGGTTTGTACACTTGACCACACAAAAATTGAAAGACAACAAAGAAAATTTAATATTTTTTGGTAGGTAAGCTCAATTAAATGGACCATAAGAAGTAACCCTGACCCATAATTATATAGTTAAAGTTGTGGAGGTGATGTGTGGTAGATGGAAAAGGTTGCATGTCATTGGAGCGGCGATAATATTAGACCATTTGGACGGTCACATTCTTTTAATTTTTTTGATTGGTGAGAAATAATTTTAAAAAATGGAATGTGACATTATTTTAGAGATGGGTGTTTTTCAATTTTGAGTCCAATCCTAAGAGATATTGATGGGGGTTCAGCAACTGATTAAGGGGAAGAAAGCTGCCATGATTTAATTTAATTAAATCATGTAAATAAATTAAAAAAGGGTGAAATCTTGATTCAATAAGTCTATTTCAATCCACACGTTCATGTGATAAGATAAAATTATGTACCATTAAATTTTCATTTTATTTTATTTGATATGCATCATGGGAAAAAATTAGTTTCATGAGTATCATTTTTTTTTTTCATTTGAACAGTGCTGCCAATTAAATGGGTCGGTTTAAATTTACCATGATTAGTATAATATATATTTACATTTTATTTTATTAAATGGGTCAAGTTTAAATTTACCTATTTAGTATAATATATATTTACATCGACACAATCCGATTATGACCCATGAATACCAATTGCCACCGTACTGATAATGCTCCAAAATAGTCCACTTTTTTCCCATATAAATGAAATGACCAAAGTAACCCTATATCACAAGTAATAAAATAGCATCTTATCTCCCCGTTTTTCTTTGTTGTCTTCTTTCTCTGCCGCGTATCTTCTGGGTTTCATGGTTGTACTCTCCAATTCTTTTTATCCAACCAACCATACCATCTCTTTTTCCTAATTGTTTATCACCTCATTGTAAATGAGATAAGCTTCAAAATTATTTAAAACCCCCCAAATTTAGTAAAGTTTGCTCCATATTTTGCCGCACTGGAACCATTGTTTTTTACTATTGCAAAATTCTCAAATTTGGGTGGATTGAACTTTTATTCGTTAAAATAAAATGAATAGTCTTTCTGCTTGCTCTTTGTCGCATAAATTTGGTTCATTACTTTAGGAAGATTAGTTTTGATAAGATGTTCATGTTGATAGAAAGAAAGAGACCAAACGAATTCCCTTTGTTGATATGCCTATATTCCATTTGTTCTAAAAAAAGATATTTTGTTTGTGCGTCACGGTTTTTCAAATAGAACATCTTTTTTTGAGACAAAGGTAGTACATTTTATAAAAATAAAATGAGTGCAAGTTTGGGTCAGGAAGGATAAATCGTTTGCAATTGTACAAAGTTTTTTTTTTTTTCTAACAAAGATCCGAAAAATGTGGGGAAGAGTATTACACATATATGTATGTACTCAACTAGTGATGCTCGTAGTTCTCGTAAAAAATTTCAAATTGGAGGTGTTAGCTCCTAACGAAAACATGATTGGCACCGTCATCCCTGTGCCGGAAAAAGGGTTCCCCGTCCTCCTCCATCCTCAGTCAACATAAGGAATAATATGGTGTTTATGGTACCTAGTACTTTTCATGAAGCTAATAATATGTATGAAGCTTTAATGTTTTAACCATATATACGGTTGCTATGGTTCAATGATATCTGGGTATGCCTCCTAATAGGAATTTTTTATTTATTTTTTTTAGTTGGTACTTACATACGCATGTCTTTTTTGAAATTTGAACCCCTGACCTTTCTTTGAAAAGTAAAAAGCCGATACCGTTAAGCCACTAGCCCATTAATCCTCCAAATAAAAATAATGTTGGAAGCTAAAGTCTCTATTTGTTTGTTTGTTTGTTTGTTAGAATATTTGATGTGTACCTTTCTTGGTGAACTACATAATTGCTGTTGGAATAAATATTTAATTGGTTTAGCTTTAGGGATGATTACAAATACTTGAAGTTCCGGAAAGCAATTTTTTAGTTTATAGAGTCAAACTTCAAACGCAAACATGGAAAAATATTATTCATTTTTCTAAAATTACACTGACCATATATCTATCTCTCGCTTTCATGCACTTCTTGTGAACTAATTCTAATGAATCTTTTTAAATCCTTGTGGGGTTGGTTTGACACAAAAATCTCCATCAATTTTCACCATTATATTTTTATGAAAACAGTATATTATTTGATAAAGGGGGTCAACTATCACTGCGATCAGTAGCAGAAATCACGGGGTGCATACAATTGCATTTGCTCCATGATCTGAACTTTTGAGAAGATGATACACCTTTCACAGGGATTAGATCAATATCCATGTCTATTTGAAGGGGCTATCGGCACATTAAACTAGTACAACTCCACCTCGGTGTAATATGGATCTTTGAATTTGTAATGCAACTCAGAAGTTTTAACGGTTGTGTGAAGTATATATTTTGTAATTGGCCGCGTGGTCTTTGAGATTTTTCAGATGATTTTTTTCAATTAGGATTTTCTCGCTAAAATTCCGATGTCAAGCTCCAACCCTACTTTTACTTACAAAAATAAAGTAAATTTCATTTGTATCATTTTAGCATCTGAGAAATGTCGTCAAAGTGTGCTCTTGCATTGGACACCCCTTTGCTCCGATTGGTATTTCGTTTTCAATTTAATTAAGTCTTTTTAATGTTGTGTTCGATAGAAAGGAAGAAAGATATTTAAAGAGAAAATAAGAAAAAATAAACAAATTTCTTTATTCGATTGAGATGATACAAATAAATAAATAAAAATGGATAGGATGATCTATCATTTCTTCTTTACAAATTTTCATCCGTCAAAAAATAGAAGAAAGAAAGGAGGGAAGACATTATAGAAGTTTTAAATTAATTGTTATCCTAAATTATACAAATTTTAAATTACAGTATTACCTCTATAAATTACAATATTATAAATATCATTGGTTATAATGATAAAAACAATTAAAAAAAATTTATTTCATTCTCTCTTAACGAATTTAATAAATTATGAGTTATTTTATTCTCTTCTATCTAACTGAAAAAAAAAAAAAAAAGAAAGAAATACACAATCTCTTCTTTATGTCACATCCATCCCATTCTTTCACTTCCATCCAATTTTTTTATTTCTTACCTAACAGCGCATAAATTTTTTTTAAAAAATTTTGAAAGGTTAATTTCATTATATAAATGTATAAATAACGTACATGCCCATAAAATGAGGAAAAAAGTTGGCGCAGGACTAACTAAACAAAATACATTAGAAACCTCACAGAGGAGGAGCCCAAGCCCACAAGGTTGAAGGTCCAGCCATCAACATTTAGAATGGAAAGAATAGTTGTAAGTTGTAACAGTACCTTGTGGGCTTGGGCTCCTCCTTGTAAGTTGAAAAGTTATGGGCTTGGGCTCCTCCTAGTAAGCTACACAATCCGGTAACAGAGCAAGTTGTAGAGATAGTCTCCTCAGAAACCCAGGTTGGTGGACGAATGACAGAGTAAGGTAGTTCCATTTCACTAGCAATACGTCTTGTGATGACCAGTAATTTTTCATATTTTAAAAAAGAAAAAATATATTTTTTTTATTTTAATAAAAATAAAAATATAATATAATATAAAATGTGCATAAAATAAAATAAAAATAGTAATTTTCACTTGAAAAAGAATTTAATGAGAACAATATTGACTATGGGCTACCATTTTGGTCAAAATCAATTTGTGTTTTTGAAAGAAAGGAAATTAAGGGAAAATGTTTGCTTATAAAGTATTGTTGTTTTAAAGACACTGCGCATGACTAAAATTGCAGCATCAAGCCTTTTTAGTGTCGTTGCTAACGGTGACTAGGCTTGGGCCAATTCAGTGCTCCCTTATAGGCTTGGGCCTGTGTGCTTGTTTTGTTTATTGGTTTTGGGCCTTGAGCTCTCAAGTTTGGTTCGGGGTTCTTGCTCTTATAAGGGCTGCTGTATATTGGGCCGGAATTGGCCTTCGAACTTGAGGTTCTCTTGTATTGTTGCTTTATTGGGCTAGCCTAGCTGTGCATTAACTTTTCATTTATATAATCAAGTTACCTTTCAAAAAAAAAAAAATTGTTTGACTGCCCCCATAGACTTTTATATTTAATACATTAATCTGAATTGCCCAAAAATAAAATTAATTATAATTGTAATTGTAGTAAATAAATAATTATTAAAAAATCGTACACCTCCCAGTCAAGGCAATACTTGCAACCTTGGGACATGACAAGGTTTACAACATGCAGGGACGGATCCAAAAAGTTGTGGGAGGAAAAAGTGAATTTTTTATAATTTTAGGGGGTACAAAGTGAAAATTTTATAAGTATATAATTGAAAATAAGAAAAATTAATTGTATATAAAAAATAATAATAATAAATAAATAAATAAAATCAATGAGAGCAATTAACACTGACTATAAGGTAGCTACAATATGTGATATATGTATCAAAATTAAATAAAATCCCCTAAACGAATCATCAAAAGTATTTTCACAACATTTGATAATGGTCAAAAGTATTTCTAACATTTTATATTATTATTTATTAAGGTTTCAATATTCCTCGTCCGTGAAAAGAATCCTGTTAATTTGATTATTAAGGTTTCAATACTCCTCTGTTCTTATATACATTACCATATTTGGACTCGCCCTGTCGTATCATCTTCAACTTTAACTAATTCAATTAACGATTTGATTAGATGCAAATTGTTGAGTTATTATCACCTTCCTATTATTTTAGCTACTTCATCATCAACATTCTTGTTTTAAGTTCACCTTTGTGGACTATTATTTTTTCATTCTATTTTATTACAAGTCATATCCTATAATTTTTAAGTTTTTAAAGTCATTTTCAATATTTCAGTCTATATTAATTTTGGTAACCCTATCCATCTCTAACCTTATATGCAAATTAATCATCCTAAATCTTCTTCTTATTGTATATATTAGGTTGCGTATATAAGGCCTTGTTTGTATATATTCATACCACCTAAATCTACTTTTTCTTATTTTATCACTAAACAAACGTCACACTTAATTTCTCTCCTTCACATTTTGATTTTAAAACGACAATTATAGAAGAGTTGGAAATATCTATGTACGCACCCATAAGCGAGCTTGAATTCTAACATAAGTCTAATTCATTAACGAGCTAGAATTCTAATGATTAAATGTTTGAAACTGAATGCTGAAACACTCTATAATCATGCAAAAAAATAGATAAAATCTTAATCCAACAAGTGAGAAAATACTAGGTAGAGTCGTTAAATATATTTGGTATGTTGTTTGGATGATAATCGAAGTCAAACACGTTGGGACTACCACTCTCCAAAAATGACCTCAATAAGTTGGTAATGTATTTTTGATGATAATTGCTAAAATAATTGAAGTCAAACAGGAGGGGAGCACCACTTTCCAAAAATGAATATAGTTGCATATGTACACAATAAATTATGTATCAATATAAATATATATAAATCAGTATATTCATGAATTTGATGAATATTGTAATTGCAGAGTAAACTAAATTTTCTTTCTTAAACCTTATAAAAAAGTCAAGATATTCCTTTAAATTAAGATATTACCTACGCCAGACCCGCTCCACATACTAAGGAAAATGATGTGTGTTGTACACGGAAGACACACCTACCCACGACTAAATTGCAGCATCAACACTATTAATTAGAGAAAATAGTTATAAACCACGAATATTCTTTTTGAGATATATATATCAAGAATGATATGACAATAATAAAAGTATGTCCTTGGTAGGAATGGAAAAAGAAGTGTGGAGAGAAAATAGAAAATAAGGAAAGAAGAGGTGTAAAGAGAAAATAGAAAAGAAATGACGAATTTTCTTTGTTGTTATAGATAGTATAAGAAAAGAAAGGAAAATATGAAGAATGACTTCCTCCTTTATAAATTTCTATCAGTTCAAAAATAAGGAGGGAAGATAAATGAACTATTATAAAAGCTTTAAATACAATATTATAAATATTATTATATATAATGGTAAAAATAATTAAAAAAATTTCTTTCCTTCTCTCCTAACTAATATAGTAAATTATTATTTTATTTTCTTTTCTTCTATTCAACTGAATAAAAAAAATAAAATACATAATTTCTTCCACGGTGGCTTCTCTTTCATCTCTTATTCTTTCTTTTATCCAATTGTTTTTCTTTCCATCTTAATTTGCACCGTCTGAAATATGAAGTAAATATCTTGGGATAGGCACAAACCCATAAGTGCCCTACTCACTAAAAAAACTATTTACAAAATTACTTATAATTCAATTTGTAGTGATATTCTACCGTACATTATTATTGGTGTTCAGGTTACCCACTCATACAATTCTCTTGACCAGTCTCTATATGAGATATTGTATATTTTCTCTCACAAAAGGCAAGGTATTATTGTATATTGTATACTTTTCTCACATGAAAGACGGTATGTTGTATAGAAAGACAAGGTAGCTAATAATAAAATGCCGTCGAAGAAGACTTTCAGGCACACTGTAGTCTCTATTTAAAGGAGCAAATTTGCAGTTAGCATTACTTGCATAACTAGCTCCTTCTCCTCAGTACTTTTACAAGTACTATAGGGAGAATTATGGAGCTCTCATATTCTTCCCCAGTTAACATCACTACAGGGAGTATTATGGAGCTCTCGTATTCTTCTCCACTTAACATCACTATCTTCACTCTTGTTCTTGTAGTTTTCCTTTATAATTTCATACATCACCTAACTTCCCCGCGAAAAACCAAACTTCCTCCGGGAAGTTTCGGATGGCCTATTATCGGCGAAAGCTATGAATTCCTCTACGGAAACTCCCAAAAATTCATAGGCGACAGAATGAAGAAGTACTCTCCCAAAGTCTTCAAGACAAAACTGCACGGTGAGCCTACCGTCGTGCTCTGCGGTCCGGCCGGCCACAAATTCATCACCGTCAATGAGGAGAAGCTTTTCCGGACGTGGCGGCCGTACTCCCTCCAAAAGCTCTTCCGCGCCCCATTCCTCCCGGACACCAAGGTCGTCATCCCACGCGAAACCTTGGTCCATGTGACCAAGGCACCGGGTTTCATCAAGACCGACGCCCTTATCGAGTACGCGGGAAAAATGGATTCCATGATTCAACAACAATTCAAGTTGCACTGGCGGGGAAAACCAGAAGTGAAGGCCTACGAGCTCCTCCACAGAATGGCGGCGAATCTATCGTCCCGGTTCTTTTTAGGCCTGGAGGAGAATGATCCTCGGATGGAGAAGTTCGCTATGCTGTCATTTGGCATGACGCAGGGCCTCAATTGCATCCCCATCAATTTCCCGGGAACTCGGTTTTACCGAGCGAAGAAAGTTGCGGAGACAATGAGGAAGGAGGTTCTGCAGATCATTAAGGAGAAGAAAGCTGCCATGTGCAGCGGAGTCCAAACGAATGACATTTTGTCACATATGATGCTCAGCGGCAACTCGGAGACTGGCCGGTTCAAGACGGAGACAGAAATCGCAACCATGTCCTCAGCCGTGGTCGTGTCCGGATTCACCACACCTTCCACTGGTCTATCCATTATCATGAAATACATTGGAGAAAGACCTGAAATTTATAATAAAATCCGTGAAGGTATGCTAGTAACCATGCATAATTTAAGCTTTTAGAGTATGTAATTGCTAATATCATAGATAAACATAATGATCTTATTTCAATACTTATTGTCATTAATATCAGAACAAATGGAGATTAGTAGCTCCAAGAAGCCAGGAGAGTTGCTTAATTGGGAGGACATTCAGAAGATGAAGTACACATGGCACACAGCACTCGAAGTGATGAGACTCCGACCACCATTTCAAGGAGCATTCAGAGAGGCCTTGAGCGACTTCACTTATGAAGGTTACACCATCCCAAAGGGTTGGAAAGTAAGTAAAACTAATTCTGCATTAAAATTGCTCCACGTTGATTTAGACATTCGTGATTCTTTAAGTCTAGCTTGTCTCATCTGTAACAATCATCTTTTAAAAAAATCTTTTCTTCAACATAAACCTAAACTCCTGCAAAAGATTAGTTTATGTTACCGTCGAAAACGAATTCCTTTCTTTGAAGGAAATTCCGTGCCTTGATTCTGTATTACTTAGTGCAACGCACTATATTGTAGTATAACACTTACGTGATAAAGTGTAATGCATAAAAGTACGACATAACTTTGTTGTTATTTAAATGAACTATGTAAAAGAATCAAATACAATACACAACAGAACAGAGAATCAGAATATATGACTAGCACTATGATTTAAACATTCATGATTTATTATTATTATTATTATTTTGGAAGGCAACATCCATGATTGTTGGTGCTACATAAAATGGTGAAATGACCGTTAGTGTCAATTCATCAAATTATGTGATTGAGATTGAGATTATCATCCAGCTATTAATTTTTTATTTGGTGACATTATAAAGGTTTAAGTGCGTGCTTGATAATAAATTAATATTATTTTGCTCAGGTGTATTGGACTGTTACTACCACAAACAATAACCCGGAGTGCTTTCCAGAACCTGAAAAGTTCTCTCCGACGAGGTTTGAGAGTCTTCCACCTTACACCTTCGTCCCATTTGGTGGTGGAATTCGAATGTGCCCCGGAAAAGAGTACACTCGACTAGTGATGCTCACTTTTCTCCACAATGTCGTCAAATATTTCAAATGGGAGGTGTTGGCTCCTAACGAGGACATGATCGGCACCGTCCTCCCTGTGCCGAAAAATGGGTTCCCCATCCATCTCCATCCTCTGTCAACATAAGCAAAGCCACAACTACAATTTCGACGCAATGGTGTTTATGCTAGCTCGTACTTTTTATGAACCTAGTAGTGTGTGTGTGTGTGCAGATTTAATATTGTAACCACGGTTGTTATGGTCCAGTACTGTATCTGGCTAAGTCTCTGTTTGTTAGAATTATGTTATGATGTATTCCGTTCTTGTTGAACTACATGAGCTAGATTGCTTTTGTAATAATTTTCATATATATATATATGAAATAAAAATTCAGGTTATATTTCAGAATCATATTATTATTAACTTACAACTTTGATTCAGCTGTCATTTGGGCGTACGTGATTTAAATATAAAGTAGAAAATATTGTGCCAATAAACAAAAAGGATCCGTGGAGTTATTTAACTTGTAAAAATTGTGTTCCTTTTACTAAGTAGCTAATAATATAAGGACAATGTTTAGCTACTAATTGGTGAGCAATTTCACCTTACTCACTTCTTTATATGTTTCAATTAAAAAAACAATACATTAACTTTAATAACAAAATCAGCAAAATTATAAAATAAAATAAAAATAAATAAATAAAAAAAATGAGAAGAATGTCGGATCGACCCGTTTTAATTAGGTAATCACCATTTCTTTTTTCCCTCTATTTTTCATCGATTCCCAAAACCACACCCTCCTCTCTCTCCACTGTTCTTCTACTTCTCATCTCCATGGGACATCATCAATCAATAAGCGAGCATGTTTGATTCGTGTTTGGGTTATTTTTCTTTTTCCTCTCCTGCTTCATTGAATATCATCATTCAACAGGCAAGCAACAACTGTGGGTACGTTTAACTAGATCTTGTAGTGGAGGTATGATTTAATTCTTTGTTTTGTACATTTAGGGTTGAATTTTTAGAAAATGGCTTTCAATCATCATTTAATAAGTATTCCCAAATTTTTTCTCTTTCTTGCTTTTTTTTTTTTTTTTTTTTTTGGTTTTGAATTTCCGTGCTTGATGGCCCAGATTGAGTTTTATAAAACAGGAAAGATTATGTGTGATGTTAAATTGTCCGAATACATGACAAAATATTACTAGAAATATATAGTATTCAAAATACAAATTATTATAAGGCAATTCTACAAATCAATAGTATTTTAGTTTTAATAAAATAAGAGACTGTTATTTTATATTTTATTGATCAAAATAAATTTCCTGGTAAAAAAAAAAATGCTATGGAATAAATTTCTTAGCTAAACAAAGTATAGAAATTCAAAATGAATTTAAACCATATATTTTTGCAAAGGCGCCTACATTCTGGTGAAGAAGAAGAACAGTGGAGAGAAGAGGGCATGGGTTTGGGAAGCGATGAAGAGGAGAAATAAAAGAGAAATGGTGATCAAGAAGAAGAACTAAGAGAGGAGGGGGCGTGGCTTTGGGAATCGATGAAAAAGAAAGAGAAAAGAAAAAGGGTGATTATTCAATTAAAACGGGTTGATCCGACTTTTTATTCATTTTTTTATAATTGTAGTGATTTTGTTTTTAAACTTGGTGTGTTATTTTTTTATTGAAACACATAAAGGAGTAAGTATGGTAAAACTACTAATAAGCATTATATTTTGTAACAATAATAATAACAATAATAATATTATTATTATTATTATTATTATTCAAAGTCCAAACTTTGAACTTGGAAAAAAGGAGTGTTAAAGTCGCTCCCCAATACAACTAATTAATGGGTCAACTTGATATATATTTTGTTAATAATAAATTGACCGAATATATCGGTATTATAATTTGTATACACAATTGAGTATAACTTGAAAGTCATAATTCTAGAAAGAGCAGTATAAAATTGAATAAATAATAATAATTAGTATTATTATATCATAAGTTAATTTTGACTCCAACTAGCATGATATGTGAATTATTCTTTAAATAATAATAATTCCGTATGCTTGTTTTCATAGGTAAAGCCACGTTTGTTTAAATTAAGATTACAATGTTACGTAGTTTGGTCTCTAGAAGGTGTGATATCTTAATTATTACTCAAGCTTTTTTATGGTAAATTGTCAAAGGTAATATGTTATTAATAGGTTTTTTTTTTTTTTTTTTGTGAAGGGTGCGGCTACGAACCTTTTTCTTTTTTATTTTATTTTTTTCGTTTTTTTTTTTATTTGGGTCAAGGTTTTCAGAACTCATTTTCAATAGCGATGCTAGACAACTCTATTTTTTATTTTTTCGTAATACTCATCACAATAATTTATTGTGAATTTATTTCACTTCCTCGTGTCACATAAATTTAATATATTAAAAAAAATACTTCATGGACTAAGATCCTGTCAAATGTCATTTGATTTAAGAAAGTAAGTCGGAACATCATCAACGAGCTTGAATTATGATGTTTGAATGTTAAAATTAAAATTCAAGTGTACAAATCAAATGTTCAAATACTTTAAAACTATATAAATTAGAAACAATAAGTCTATTTTCAATCCATAAATGTGACAAGATAAAATTAAATAGAGTGGTTAAAATTCTTTTAGATACGTATTATGAAAAATGCAAGTTTCATGATTATCATTTCTATATTTAAAGTTTTTCATGGAAGAGCTCTCATCAAGAGGGGCGCTTGTGGATACTTGAAAGAAATGGATTTCAATACCACCATCTTTCTTCAAGGAGTTACCTTTCAACAGACTCCTGCCTTCTTCCTTTTAATTTGAAATTAGAGAAGATATCACTGGATCAAGGGTCTCTAAATTTATGATTGATTAATTACTCACATTATTTTAACAATTAAATCTATACCAACTACAAAACGAATGTTAAAATAAAAGAAAGAATACACTAAAATCGCGGCAAGGAAAAAAACTTCTAAGACTAGTTGTCCCAGGCAAATCAATCAACTATCTCGAAGCGGAATTACGTAAATTTTGTCTTAGTCTCACACTGTCTCACTCTACTAATAACCAGTTGCTAAACATTGTTCAATTGTTGTTGTGAATTCCTTAATTCTCACAAACAGGTTGGTAGAAGCACATGATCGCTCCATGAACAATATGTTCTCATCGAAGCGATTGATTTCCCTTCCTTTCACTCAAAAATATGAAAATATAAAAAAGAAATTTGATGCTCTGATCAAACTAACTTTAAAAATATTTTTATTAAATGAAAAACATCACCCTAAGCCTAAAACACTTGCGCGTTTGCGTGCGCTCTGCAAAATATAATATATACTCAAATCACAAAATTTCTCTCTAAGCCCCAAGCCTCCTCCAATGGTGTGTAAAAATATTGGGTGTATATGGCAAAAGAGAAGTTTAAATTTCCAAGAGAATTAAGAAAAATGTATTTTAAAATCTCACTGGATGTCTAAAATTTTGATGGAAAAAGAAATCCAAGTCGCACGTATGTCAGGAAAAATCCAATCGGTTGGTAGTTTTTCAACCAATTGGCTCTGCAAGTAAAACTAGTTGGTAATTTACCAACCCTTGGACTTTTACAGTATATTGTAAATTTTGAGAAACTCAAACGCATTGGTCTCTGGAAGATGAGATTGTGAAATTATTTGAGCAGATTGAAGTTTTTTTGATCGATTGGACTTCGAGAAAAAAAATAAATAAATAACAGTTGAAATATAAGTCCAAATCCAACTAAATTTATTGTACATTGTGTCCTCGTACACACGTCTAAATGATGTCTTCATTTCAATATTTAAAAATTAAAATAAAATTACAACTCGGTAAACAAATTTTGATATGAAAATTTCTGTCACTCTATGGTTGGTTTGTTTTAGAAAGGGGTGTATCAAACATTATAAAATAACAATTTTTTCAACTAACAAGAGAATCTATAGAAACTTAAATTATAATGTATAAAATTGATATGTGAAGGCTAGCTTAAAACCCAACAATTAATATTTATTAGCTTTGCTTGTGACATACCTCGTTTTTGGGCAAAATTCCGACATTCAAATTATTCAGAATTTTTGTTAGTGATCGAATGAGTCTTCGATTTAGTTAAAAAAAATATTAGTTACCTTATTTAATAATTAGGTTATTATTCTTATTTTTCTTAGTTTTTAGAAATAGTGTCAATCAGAGTTTTTAAAGATTTCTTCTACATTTAGAATTTCTTTAGTATATATAAATGTAGCATATTTACACATACGTTAATAATATTTCAATTTTTTTTCCATTTTGGACTGTTAATTTCTTAACATATTTCTCAATTTAGTTTTTTATATGATAAGGCAGGTAATGATTTACAATATATACATTATACAATTGTCTACCTTTCAAATATATATATATATATATATATATATATATATATATATATATATATATGAGTCATATTAATAATTTTGTAAATTAGGAAAAATTTTATAAATATGAACACACAAAGATAATATAATAAATAAATAAATCCATGTGGGCATTAACTAGCGTGATCCATTCCGACACCTATGCAAGATATTATATTGTGTTGCGACGCTATTATATTATTAAATTGTGAATTTAATACATTTATATAATTACTGCATTATTAATTTAAAGTTTTTGCATTGATGTAAAATTGTTGTATCGGGAGCTTAAACACACCCACTCATAAAAAAAATATCCTAGTTCCTTCTTTTTTTTCTTTTTCTTTTTCTTTTTTCTTCTTATAATCGAAAGAAACAAAGGTCCCACAGAGAGTCAAACTCAGGTTGCTGGAATATAAAATAAATTTTAATATGTTTGACAAGTCAACCACATGTGAAAGAATGCAGTTAAAGTGTGCTAGAGACTTAAAAGAGTATAAAAATTGAAAATTAATATTATTAGAGTATACTTGTCTTCTTGTTACATTGGTAGTGAGAGTTTTGTGATTTATTGGTATTTTTTTTTTTGTCTTTTTAAATAAATAGTACGATTTAAGTCTTTAAAGGAATAAAATAGATAAATGAGTGATGCGTGAGTTTCATTGCTAAGGACGTGTAAACGCCAAATGTTAATTTTTCACTTTTGTCACTTGTTGACATGATTTTACACTCTTTTTTTTAACTGTTTCTTTTTGATACTTTCTTTTAAATTGTTTTTATTTTTATATGCATTCTTCTCTCGTCTTTGGTCTATAATGTAAATGTTACTTCAAATTGTGTTAAGCCTGAAATATGATGTGAGCTCTGTCAAATGAAGAGACCCTAGCCAAAGGATTTGATTGGCGACAGCATA